AGTAATCATTGTCCCTGTGCTTCTGGAGCCCCGCCTGCTTGCACCCCTCTGCTGAGCCCACCCCACCCCAGTTTGGCTTTCTCAAGGCCAGTGGCTTTGGTTTTATTTCTTTTAATGAGGTAAGGTGTTGCTGTGTTGCCCAGCCTGTCCTTGAACTGATGAGCTCAGGTGAACCTCCTGCCTCAGCCTCCTGAATGGCCTCTGTCTCCCTCCTTGCTTGCTTGTCTGGATGCTGCCATCTTCTCCTAGGCCTCCAGTCCCAGCAAGCAGCTGGAGTCCTCTTCCTCACTCAGCCCTAACACAGGCCCCTCCCTCCACCCACACTGTCCAGCCTTGTCCCTCTGCCGTCCTCCTGGCAGGACAGGCTGCACACTCCGCTCTTCCTCACTGCCTTCCTCCCATTTGTCCAACCAGAGTCCTAGGAGAAGGGACGCTTGTCCTGCATTTGGACCAGCCTGCTGGCTCCCAAGTTCTGGATTCCACATGTTTCTTACTGTCTGGTTTTGGAAGAGTCAACTCTACCTGTAAAGTAGGGAGACAGTCTTCAGCCCATGAGGTTGCTTTGTGAACTAGGCTGGGAATGTATGTGAAAACACACAACGAGAAAGACGGTAAAATAACTGGATGTGGTAGTGCTGAATACCTGTGAATCCCAGTACTTGGGAGGCTGGGACCGAAGGATGGCGAGTTCAAGGCCAGTCTAGGCAATTTAGCCAGACCCTGTCTCAAAATAATAAATAAAAAGGGCTGAGAATGAAGCTCAGTGGTAGAGTGCCCTTGGGTTCAATCCTCAGTACCAAAAAAAAAACCCTGTAAAAGTATAAAGTTATTCACTTTGAGCTGTTCTTTTTTTTTTTTGGTACCAGGGATTGAATTCGGGACCTTGTGCTTTTGAGGGAGGTGGCAGAACCACTGAGCTAAATCCCTGGCCCCAACTCTTATTCTTTGTAATTCTCATAGGGCTTATCACCTTGTAAGAAACTATAATTTTACTGGGTGTGGCGGCACAGGCCTGTAGTCCCAGCACTTGGGAAGATGAGGCAGGAGGATCGCCATAAGTTTGAGGCCAGCCTGGGCTACATAGTAATACCCTGTCTCAAAAAACCCCAGAAAAACAAAACAAAAAAACTCCTATAATCTCCACTAGAATGTCAGTTCCATGTGTGTAGGCTTTTTTTTTTTGAGTGTAGGCATTTTTATGTTTCTGTCCTTGCTCTTTGCAGTGCTGGGGATGGAACCTGGGGCCTTGTGCATGCTGTGCAGGAGCTTTACACTGAGCTACAGCCTCAGTCAGCCCTGGCTTTTCAACTGTGGCCTCTTTTTTTTATTACTGAGGATATTGAACTCGGGTCCTTCCGCTTTCGAGGGAAGCAGGCGATGGAACTACTGAGCTAAATCCCCAGCCCCCTGTGGCCTGATTTTTAATGTTTTCTTCACTGCCATATACCTAGAGCCTAGAAGAGTGCCAGGCACATAGCAGGTGTTCAAAAATACTTGTTATAGGAGTGAATTCTCTATGCATATGCACTTCTGTAACAGCCCTAAACCTACCCTCTCCATGAAACCTTCCTTCAAATGCATATTACCATCTTTGTAGGAACATCCCCATTTTACAAATGAGGAAACTGAGACTGAAAGAAATGAAATGATCTATCCAAAAATCACTCACCTGAAAAGTGGTAGGGCCAGATACACCTCTCTCTGTGTGCTGTCGAGGGCTAGGCCTTAGGGACTGATGACAAGATTTGGTCCTTCCGGTCCCTCACAGCACTTTCAGGGAGAGGGATTACAAAGGGAGGCCCAGGATGTTATAAAACAGAGGAGCCTCCCTACCCACCTCATGTCTTTGTTCTGTGAGCCAAGTGTCCAAACTATCCCTTAGATTGAACCACTATATATATATATATATAACTCAGGGTCTTCATACTGACCTACCTCGATAAACTGCCCAGGCTGGCCTTAACCTTTTTTGTCTATTGTTTGTTTTGTTTTTCAAGACAAGGTTTCACTACATAGTTCAGGCTGGTATTGAAGTCACTATGTAGCCCAGGCTGGCCTTGAACTCACAGAGATCCTCCTGGCTCAGTTTCCCCAGTGCTGGCATTAAGGGATGTGCCCCCGGACTGGCTTCAGCTACTATATTCTGAGTGTATTCATTAATGTTGGGGCTGGGGATTTAGCTCAGTGGTTTCGCTGTCTGCTGCACAAGCTCAAGGACATGAGTTCGATTCCCGGTACCAAAAAAAAAGAATGTTGGGCTGGGGATTTAGCTCAGTGGTTCTGCCGCCTGCCTTGCAAGTACAAGGACCTGAGTTTGATCCCCAGTACCAAAAAAAAAAAAAAAAAAAATTAATGCTGTAGCTCCCTGACTTCTAGGATCCATTCATTATCCAATGTAGAGTGTCACACTGTTCTTTAACCATTTGGACTTCTTCCTTTTTTTTTTTTTTTTTGGACTTCTTCCTCTGCTGCTGCTTCTGTCTTCACCCACCAGTGGAAGGCTTCCTTGAGAGCTAGCATAGCAGCTGGGCGTGGTGGCAAACACCTGTAATCCCACACTAGGAGGCTGAGGCAGGAGGATCACCAGGAGTTCTAGGCCAGCCTGGGTTACACAGTGAATTCAAGGCCAGTGTGGATTACATAGGGAGACCCTGTCTTGAAAAAAGAGAGAGAGACAACAAGCATAGTATTGCTGTTACTCTCTCTTTTCATTTAAAATTTTTCCTTTTTTGGGACCAGGGATCGAACTCAGGTCCTTTCGCTTTTGAGGCAGGCAGTGGAACCACTGAGCCAAATCCCTGGCCCTTCATTTAAAATAGTTTTTAAAATTTTTGTATTGCTGTTACCATGTAGTGCTCAAATCCCATCCTTGGTAGCCACCCTGTCCATGTTCCAGATGAGCAAACTGAGGTCCTGAGAATTGAGAAGCAGCTCAACTGCCACACATGGAGGGAGGGCAGAGTAGACCCTGGTCACCACAGCATCGCAGCTCCCCAGCTCCTCTGGACCTGGCCTCCCACTTTCTCCTGCTTTCTGGAAGTGGTGATGGACTCCTGGTGTCTGGGGTTGAGATCAGGGTGGAATACGCAGGATAGACTTCCTGTGAAGCCCACAGTTAGGGCTGAGGCCATGGTTGTGGTGGTGGTAAGGGAGACCCTTTGGAAAGAGCCCCGAGTGACATTTGGGGCAAAGGCCCTCCTCCTTTCTCCTACACCTTTTCCCCAAAGATGGGGAGGGCTGGGGTTAAGTGTGGCTTTGCTTCTTCAGCCAACAGGGGAAGGGGGCCCCAGTGCCAGGGAGGGGCTGAGAGTGGGAACAGCCTGCGCCCTGTCCCTCACCCCCCTCTATGCCTCTGCTTCTGCTTTAGGGAACAGAACGGGGAGAGGAGAGGCAGAGTAAAGTTTTTTTTTCTGGGAGGCTGAGGGTGGATACCATGCCCTGGGAGAGAAGGCTGCAGCAGAGGGATCTCAGAAATGAGAACCTAAGTGTCCCCGCCCCAGGTCCCTCCCCGAATACCGAGTCCTCACCCTAATTTAATCCCACTGCAGTCCCTGGTCCCCTGGAGGCCTGGCCCCAACCCCAGAACCAAGTGCCCTCCAGCCCTGCTTCCATGTGCTGTGTGCAGGAAGAGAGCTGGTACCGTGGAGCTGGTGGGGCGCGCAGCGCGATCTAGTCCCCCAGCCGGCCGCGCGAGTGCCCCCAGCAAGAGGGCCAGGGGCGTGGTACTGCCCTCTCTCACTGGATCAGAGCAGTGCAAGGCCGAGCGCAGGGTCTCTGAGACCTGAGCAGAGGTGGAGGCTGCAGAGCCCGGGGCGGGGAGACCGCGGACGGTGGGACCCTCCCCGGGCTGGCTGCCCGCAGAGCTGGCCGGCGGGAATGTGGAGGTGAGCGTGCAGCAAGGCCGTGGTCTTCACTGTACACACACACACGCACACACGCGCACACACACACCCCGTCTCTGCTGGAACTAAAATGGAGATCTAACATTGTCCACCCCCACCCCTCGCCCGCCCTTTCTGGGAACCACAAAAATCTGGGACCGGTGTCCTGGCAACGTGATGAACGCAAGCACAACTCTGTATCTGTTTTAAATTATCCATTAAAATAAGTATAGTCCTGGAAAAAAAAAAAAAAAAAGCACAGCCGGGATTTAGCTCAGCGGTTCCACCGCCTGCCTCGCAAGCTCAAGGACCCAAGTTCGATCCCCGGTACCAAAAAAAAGCACAGGCCTAGAGTTGGTTGGGTGAGGTAAGCAGGAGAAAGGCGCAAAATGGGGAGGGACCTGGGTGGCCTCCTCCAAGGCCTGGGGAGTGGAGGGGGCAGCCTCTGGGTCCTATTCTCGGCCTTCGCTGGAGACTGAGGCTTGGTGTTTGCATCAGAGACCCAGGGCTTAGTTTCAAAGGCAAATAAATTGAGGTAGAACACGGGAAGGACCCCAGGTTCCTGATCCTGCCCCACAATTGTGGCATAAAGGAGCTTCTCCGGACCGCACCCCCCCCCCCCCCCCGCTTTCCGAGATGGAGCTTGGAATGGGCGGCCCACACGTGGAGGGGCAGAGGTGACTCACTGTTACTACTGGGAGGCGAGGGGCCGGTGGGGGAAGAAGGGTGAGTCACTCCGACGGGCACGGCTCCCCCTTCCTAGCCCGCCCGGCGCTCTCCCTCGCTTTGAATCCACTCACCCGCCCTCTGCCCACTCGCTCACGCCTTGGCTCTGCCTTCTACCCCAGAAGGCCCGAGGCAGTGGGGGCAAGCTCGGAGCTGAGAGACCAGAGCAGGCAGGAACCAAGACTGGAGCCCGGGGAGACCGCAGCGCTCCGGAGAGGGTGGGGTCCCGGGTCCTCCCGCCCCGCCCCCGCGGCTGCCGCGGCCCCTTTAAGAGCGGCGGCCCCGCCCCGCAGAGGAGGCCCTATTAGAGCGGCCGGGCGCGGGTGACTCAGTGTTCGCGGAGCGCCGCACAGCACCGCCGGCTCACCCGCACTCCTCGCACCCGCCGGACCCCGCCGCCGCGCTCCGCCTGCTGCCCGAGCCCGCGCCCTTCCGGGACCCCTGCCCTCCGGGCAGCGCTGCCACCCTGCCGGCCATGGAGACCCCGTCCCAGCGGCGCGCCACCCGCAGCGGGGCGCAGGCCACCTCTACCCCGCTGTCACCCACGCGCATCACGCGGCTGCAGGAGAAGGAGGACCTGCAGGAGCTCAATGACCGGCTGGCCGTCTACATCGATCGCGTGCGCTCGCTGGAGACGGAGAATGCCGGGCTGCGCCTTCGCATCACCGAGTCAGAGGAGGTGGTCAGCCGCGAGGTGTCCGGCATCAAGGCCGCCTACGAGGCCGAGCTGGGCGATGCCCGCAAAACCCTCGACTCGGTGGCCAAGGAGCGCGCCCGCCTGCAGCTGGAGCTGGGCAAAGTGCGCGAGGAGTTTAAGGAGCTCAAGGCGCGGTGAGTGCGGCCCGCGTGGACGGGAAGGGAGCCGAGGGCCCCAGGCGGCCCTGGGGCCGACACCTTTGCCAGTCTCCTCCCTCCCCGGAACCGCCCCAGCGGGCGACTGACTGTCAAGACAGCGCAGGGCCGGGGTCTCCGGGAGAGGGCGGGGGCTATGAGGAAGGGCGGGACTGCGGGAAGGTCGGGCCAGCGCGGGGTCCTGTCCTGTCGGGTGGGATTTGACAGCTCTTTGTAGCCTGGGGGACAGGGTTGAGCAACACAGAACTGGCCCTGCCGGGGCTCTGAGCTCTGGGCACCCAAGACACGTGGGAGTAGGTGAAAGGGCCCTGTTGGAACGGTCCTGCGGGCTTGCCACGGTGCCGGCTACGCTGACTGGCTCTGAGTTCACGATCCCCACCGAGGCAGAGCTCTGGCATCTGCCCAGTGGGCGGAGAAAGGTCACCAAGGCAGGGTGGCCCCTTTCGTCCTCTCTGGAGGACATGGCGGTGACCCCCTTGACGTGATCTTTCCTGGGGTGCTCCTACATCGGGAAGCTGTGCTCACACGCGCGGATCTGGGGCCTCCCTTGGATTTAGCCAGGACCCCAGAGGAGCTCGCTCCCCCGCAGCTCCCTCAGCCCTTGGCCTGCCCGGAATGCACGTGAGGGAGAAGGGCAGAGGCTGGGCCCAGGAAGTTGTCAGGGCCAGGTCTGGGCAACCCCTCCTCCTGGCCCTCTGCCTGGTGTCCAGGGTCAGGGGCTCTGCCCTTCCCTCCCTCCACTTTCCTTTCCCAGCCAAGCCCTAGCAATCTTTGCTCTGCCCCATCCTCTCTGGCTGACGTCTAGATCTTTGCTTTATTAAACTGCTGGAGTACAGAGACATTTTTGAAATCCAGCCGTTGGAAGCTTCAGGCCGCTCCCACTACACCCATCCCTGCCCCACCCTACCCCACCCTGCTTGACTCCACCCTCTTTTCTAAAATGGCCTTTGGGAGCCTGGAAGTTTAGGCCCTTCCTTCCATCACCCAGTGATCTCCTTGTTCCCTTTTTCTTTCTTTTTTTTTTTTTGGTACTGGGGATTGAACTCGGGACCTTGGGCTTTCGAGGCTGGCAGTGGAGCCACTGAGCTAAATCGCTGGCCCTGTTCCCCTTTTCTTTATGGGCCAAAGAGTGCCAGAGATCCCTAGGTGGCCCCAGGCTTTTATCTGTTCTAGCCTCTTGCTCTTCCCAGAAACTTAGGTACCCGATTGGTCTTTCGTACCCTTTACCAGCCCCCAGCCCGGGTGGTGGTCCAGTAGACTCCGGATGTGAATGGAAGTTATGTAGGGAGATAGGTTTTTTTCTTTTCTTTCTTTTTTTTTTTTTGTAGCAGGGACTGAAAGTAAACTGTTAACGCTGAATTGTATATCCCTAGCCAGGATTTTATTTTGTTTCGTTTTTCTGGTCCTGGGGTCGAACTTGGGACCACTTGCCAGGCAAGCAGCGGAACCACTGAGCTAAATCCCCTGCCCAGGGATTTTATTTTGATACAGAGTCTCACTTAAGTTGCTGAATTGCCCAGGCTGGGCTCAAACTAGAGTGCTGTGATTACAGGTGTGTGCTACCACATCCGGCTTCTGGCCCTTTTTAATTTTTTGAAACAAGGTCTTACTAAGTTGCTTGGGCTGGCCTCAAACTTGCAGTCCTCTTGCCTCAGCCTCCTGACTGTCTGGGGTTCAAACTTTATGCTCACTAAAGGGATCACTTGACTTTTCCATTAGAAATATGAACAACTTAGCAAGATAGACAGGAGGTAAGCCAGTGAGTGAGTGAGTGCATTAGTGTTTTAAACTAGTCCCCTGCTAGCCCTATGAAGGACATTATTAGCAGATCTGGGGAAAACATTGTCTAGGGACTAGGCTGGGGGTCTGGAACCGATTGCTCACCTGGCCATGCCAGTCTGTCCGCTCTGCCTCATGGTGCAGCTGTCCAGGCCAGGACAGCAGGCCAGTGTGTGCACGTGGGGAGAGGCGGGGGTGGGGTGTGTGCGTGTTATATTTAGCCACCTGCCTCTTCTCTCCCACAGATCCTAAGTGGGGAGGCTAGGCTTCCGGGAGGTGGGGGAGGCTTACACACTTGGATCCCAGGATGGTGGACAATGGGGTGGAGACCCAGGAGACTCAGACTGGGGTGTCTCCACCCCCCACCAAACCCGGGAAAGGTGGTGTTGCCTGGTTTAAAGTTTAATTAGAGCTCAGAGTTCAGGGCCAGGAGTTGAACACAGATGCAGAGCTATCTGTAAGGCCCTGTTGCTGTCCTCAGCCCAGCCTGGATATCTTGACCATATCCAGGGGTTCTCCTCCTTGTTGGGCTGGGTTTCAGGCCAAGAACCACCCCCCAACACCTAAGTGTGGGGAGAATGGGAAGGTTGTAATCACCCTGGAAAGGCACCTGGGGTCCAAGCTTGGGATCTGGGCCCCACCCAGGCAAGACAGCTGGGTGGATGACTCAGAGGCTACCCCCTCCTGCTAGCCCAGGGTGGCTTTACAAGAGACAGCGGGAGACAGGCTGCAGATAGCAGATGGCTTGAAGGAGACAGGTGGGGGCTTGAATGTCTGCATCTTCCGCCCCTTCCCATGGCAGCCTGGGGTCCCTTCCTTCTGAGAGCCTCTGGTGTAGTCTGGAAGCAGGGCTCTGGGCAGGCACTGAACAAGCAGTCAGCATGCAGAGTCAGGGCCTGTCAGAAGAAGGCTGAGTCAGAAATGGGGAGATCCCAGGCCCACAAACCAGAAGCACCTCTTCCCTCTGTCAGGCCCTCATGCTCCACAACTTCCTGGATTGCCTGCCTTTTGTGGCCCTGGTGTGAACAGGCAGGGAGATGCAGGCTTCTATCGAGACAAGAACAGGGGCCAGGAATTTAGCTCAGTAGCACAGTGCCTGCCTGGCAAGTCCAAAGTCCTGAGTTCGATCCCCAGTACAAAAAAAAGGACAAGAACAGAGGTCATCGAGAGACAGAGGCTTGTCCCATGTCAACTAGCGAGGAGTGGTAGGTCAGTACTTGAGCATGGGCCACTTCCTGTTGAATTACTCTTTTTGTCTCTCTTTTTGGTTTCAGTGAGACAGGGTCTCACTCTGTTGTCTGGGCTGGCCTCAAACTCACGATCCTTCTGCCTCAGGCTCCCTAGTGCTGGGGTCACAGGTGTGTGTTACCACCATGGCTGGCTTCAGTTGGGTGCTCCTGTCGTTGGCCCTCACTTCTCTATCCTTAGGGACAGACTGAGGATCAGGCAAGGAAGGGAAACTAAGGCTCACTCCTGCAGCCTGGAGATTCTCCTGTGGGACAGGTGATGCCTTAAAGCTCTGCTTTCCTGCCTGGGGCTGGCGACCCTTGCCCTAGCCTGCAGCTGGAAAGACCAGGATCCCACCGGGCCTTAGATCGTGAGACAGTCGGAGTTTAGGGAGCCAGGTGATTCGTGTCTTTGGGTTGCCCTGGGACTCGTTGTGAGAAGTGTCCGCCTGGAAGGAGGCTGTGCCTTTCAGCCGGACCATTGGGTTGGTGCAGATGGGAGTCTTTGGGCACCTGGGGCCTGGCCCTTACCCTGGAGTTACTTCTCTGAACTACCCCTCCCTAGTCCACATTCTGATTGAGAAGGGCAGGAGAAGGTACAGCTTAACCTGCCGGCTGAGTACTTAAGGAGCCCAAGGGAAATGAAAATCATTCCTCACCAGGCTTCTAGTGCCTGCCCCTGGCCTCCGGGAGCCCAAGACTTCCTCTTGCATGGGTGGTTCCCATTCCCCCTCTCCTAGTCCTGATCCAGTTCCTCAGGGTCATAGCGGAAGCCAGGGACAGCTGGGAAGACGACTGGTAGAAGATTCTTTTCACCTACCAACTATGCCCTCTGCACACCTCCCCCAGCCCCCCAGTACTTCTACCAGCTGCAGCGGCAGCACGACCAGACACTAGGGAGAGTTCCTCACGTTCTCACCTCCTTGGTGGGCTGAGGGAGCTGAAGGTAACAGACTGAGTGCTAATAAAATCTTGGAGACCTAATCTAATCTCATCTAATGCTAATATAATCCCGAGGCTGCAGGGTCTCCTTCTTAAGAGGTGAGGAACCCCACCCAGAGCGACAGCGAGTGTTGAGATAATGGAGACAGCCCTGGCCCTGAGTCTGTAGTTGTAAGTTTAGCCCTGTCCCTAAGTGGCTGTGTGACCTTGAGCTGGTCACCTCCCCCCTCCAGAGTTCCTCAGCTATAAAAGAAGGGGTTAGAAGGGAAGATCTCCAGAGAACCCTTCGGTTTCAAAGTTATACAATGACCCACAAAGTGAGGAAACAGTCCTTTAAAATACCAAGCTATTAGTAGGCAAGTCAAATATAATCAATAGCCAGGTTAATCTCAATAGAAATATTTCCAACAAGCAGTGGACTAAAAACACTAGTACCAGGGCCAGGGGATTTAGCTCAGTGGTTTCGCCACCTGCTGTGCAAGCACAAGGACCCGAGTTCGATCCCCGGTACCAAAAAGAAAAAAGGAAAAAAAAACAACACTAGTACCCCCTGTATTTCCTGAGAGTTTGGTTAGCCACTGGTACATACCCTGTGCTGTGTGCTGTTTTCCGTGCTGGTAGGAAAGGCCAGTGGGCCTCTTCCTTCAGAGCGGGGCTAGGGCTGCCGGGCAGCGTGTGTGTGTGTGTGTGTGTGTGTGTGTGTGTGTGTGTGTGTG